TGTATCTCTTCCGATCTGAAAGGGAAGACAGTAAACATGTCAGCAGCAAATCGATAAGACAATTATTCTGTAATGAATTCCAGACACTGTAAATTAACCTGACAAGTGGCTCCGGCACCCTCGGGCTTTTTCAGCCCCTGGAAACCTTCGAGATGCTCCTGGGTCAGGGTCAGTTCCCTTCCCCGTCCATCAGCGAGAACAGGCAGTGCTGCCCTGTGAGGCCGCCAGTTCCCCGGCCCCGGGGGCCTGGCTGGGGAGGAGCCTGACCCTCCCTCACCCCAACCTCAGCCCCCAGGCCCTCCCCTCGGTGCGCAGGGCCCCGCCTGATCCGGTACCCGCAGGACCGCTGGCCTCACAGCGCCCAGAGCAGCCCGGATCTCACCCCACACCCGCGCCCCCATCTCTGCCCCCGGCCCCTCTTCACACACCGCGGCCCCGAAAGGCAGCTGAGCCCACGACCCATCTGCCCTCCGTGGGGACCTGGTCCCCAAGTGGAGGCTGACACGGGGGAGGTAGGGGCCGTGCATCGCGAGGGCGTTTCCGCGTCTCTGCGGAAGCAGGGCCGGGGCGCTGCCGCTGTGCCCTCCTGTGTCCTGCACGTGACCCGGCGCCCAGGACCGACCTCCTGGAGAGTCCGGCCCGGGCCTCCGGACAGACCCCCAACTCTCCCCGCCCAGCACGCTCCCTGCCCTGCCTGTTCTTCACGTGGCCGAGCAGGACCCTGGGTCACTGCCTCACTCCCTTCCTAGCGTCCCCTCCCTGGGCTGGTGAAGCAGGAGCCCCGGGAGCCGGGCGGGAAGACGCAGCACAGCCTCCTCAGGACACTTCTGGCTCCCCCTCTCCTGGTTTCAATCTAGTCCTTTCCTTCCTGCCCAGCAGCTCAGCGCTCAGTGACTTAACGCGATGAGACGCTTCCTCAGGAGCCCTAACAGGGCTGCCTTCCACCTGCTTTCTCACCTCTATTTATTGGTCATGATTCCAGACTCCCCAGAAAGCAGCAGAGAACATTCAGTTTTCCCAAGTGAGATCCGGGTCCTGGGGGCGGGAGGCAGGTGGATGCCGGCCCCCGGGGAGCAAGGGGGCGGGCATCGGGGAGTCTTATGCGTCCGGACGGTGTCCCCCAGCTGCCCAGGCCTCCTCTCCTGCAGGGACCCCGCTCCTGCTGCCTTTGACAAGGGGATCTGGCTGCTCTGGCCATCTTAACAAGTCCTCAGCCTCAGCTAGAGGAGTTTCCTCCAAGATTTTATCATTTATTGCTTCGTTTTTGAAGTAAAAACGAACCATCCCTTTAAAAGTAACACATTGATACCGACTTCTCAGCAGCTGCTCCTTTCAATGATGGATTTTCCAGGATCTAAAGATCGAATCTAAATCATTCATGATATTTTGTTCCCCAGATTCAGGTGTCTGATTTTAACTGTATTGACTTTATGAAAACATGCAGCTGCAGCTTCCCTGAGAGATGCCGTGTGGGAGCACATCTTTGGTTTTCTAGGGCTTTGCTGCTAGGAGCTGTCCATGCCGGGACCTTGGGCTTCTGACCAGGGAGCTCCGTAGGGCCATCGCACCTCCTCCTGGCGGGGCTGGATCCCTGAGCGGCATTTCTGCATATGTTCATCCGTTTGCTTGTCCTTCATCCATTCCGTGGCCTCTTGCTCATCTTGCCCGCTGGTCTTGGCGCTGTGCTGGCTTTGGGGCTGCAGAGAGGCAGAGCCCAGCCCTTAGAGGACTCGCCGTCTAGTGAGGGAGACCGTGCTGGTCGCAGCACCAAGGGACGAGGGCCTTGGAGGTTGCTTAGCTGGGCAGCATGGCACCCATCCGTCTCTGGACTTCTCTCTCATGCTTACGTGCAGAAACCGCCCTGTGGAGAGCTGAGCTGTCTGAGTCGGGGTAGGCCGGGCCCCAGTTAGCGTACGATGATTTGCAGCGCGTATCAGAGGCAGCCAGCACTCAGACAGCCCCTGGGGCATTGCCTCCACACCAGCTCTGTTCTGGGCTCCGCAGACACTGGGGGGCCCGGATCCTTCTCTCGGAACTCACATTCCAAGGCAGAGCCTCAAGGCTGAGGCTGCAGGTGCCCCGGCGCTGGGTGTGTCTCCTACCCCCAGGACCGGGTGTGACTCCTAGGCTGTTCTGTGCTCCGTGGGCACCTGGCATCAGCATTTCCCTCAGCATCACCACCAGTTGGATTGGGGTGGTCAGCCTGAGTGTGCCCAGAGGATGCGCTGGCTCCCAGAAGCCCAGTGCCAGCTGCAGTCCAGCAGAAGCAGAGCTGTCTGCTTGGCCCAGAGCTGGCCTTGCAGGGACCCTGTCTTGTGCGTCCGGGTAGTCAGCTCCTGACCCAAGGCCTCCTGCAGGGAGGAACCAGGTCTCACTCCCAGCAGGGCCTTTTCCGCTCCCACCTGGACCCACCCTGCCTGCCCACCCTCCCTGTTCCTCTTGCAGGTTGACAGCAAAAGCTGTGGCCGTGCTGCTGCCCATCCTGGGAACCTCGTGGGTCTTTGGCGTGCTTGCTGTCAACAACCAGGCTGTGGTCTTTCAGTACATGTTTGCCATACTCAACTCCTTACAGGTAAGGGCCCAATGGGACTATCGGCTTTGTGAGTGCACGTACAGAGCAGGTTGCCTCTGAGGCAGGAGGGAGACCCTGTGCCCTGTCCCCTCCACACGCACGCACCTCGTGGACCCCTAGCGTGGAGGGTCCCCAAGGCCTGAGGACACAGGCATGGATGGGGCGTGCACCAGGGTCTCTGAGCAAATGGGCTACGCAGGACCCCATTCACAGCAGGGCTGCCTCGTCCTCCTGGACAGTATCTGTGGAGGGGCACCCAGGCCTGAAAGGAAGACGGTCAGCACGTGGGCAGCCCCTGAAAGGGAGCCAGGCGTGGAGAGGTGGTGATGGGGGTACCTTGGGTTCTGAGTTCTCATCTGCTCTCTGCATGGAAGGACAGCAAGGGTAACAGCCTGGAAACCAGAGACTTGGGATGCCCAGAGTCTGAGTCTCCAGAGCCACAAGCCCCCAAAGGAAGGGTGGAGGCGGGCGCCCATGGCCATACACAGCCTACGCAGCCGAGCCGAAGGCTTAATCCACCCCGGCCCTCACCACGTTGTCCTTGCTGCATCTGGGCTTCACAACCAGTGACTATGTCAGGCTTCTAATTTGTAAGAAGCCCCCATGCATAGTTTCCTTCTGGCTGTTTATAACAAAAGGGGGTCGGCTGTCCTGGCCGCAGCCCTACACACCCCAGGTCCTGGGATCCTCACTTATCCTCTGTGTCCCGTAAAGTTTCCTCTTCCGTAACATGGGAACAATGACAGGACCCACTTTGCGGGGGGCTGCTTTTTAGCACTAAATGAGATGACTCACGTGCAGTGTTCGTCTAGTGCGGACACAGAGGGGCAGAGTCTCTAGACGTTTGGGGAGACCCTCAGCTTGTGTCTGTTTTCACTGTTACCGTCATCCTCAGTTTGCAGGTGAGGACACCAGGTCTCGCTTTAGGCGATGCGCTCCTGCCCTCGCATTTGTCCGCCCCAGCATGTTTGCTCCTCTCTGAGGTTAAGCCTGTCTGGGCGCCCACCTGTCTTTGTATCTTGGTCATGGCGGCTGCCTGCGTTTAGGTTAGATCACAGGATGCCCTTCCACGCTTATGGACTCCAGACCGTAGGGTCCAGCATCACAGCTCACTCACTCCCACATGCTCCCCGACACCAAGCCGTGCCAATGCCACTCTCAGAGCCCATAGGTGGCGTTGGAAAGAACCCTCACAGAAAGTGTTTGTAACAAAATGCAAGTGGCTCTAATTCTGTGTTTTCCTCCCCAGGGATTTTTCATCTTCCTTTTTCACTGTCTCCTGAATTCAGAGGTATGTCTGCTCCACTTCGTGACAGTATGAAGCTGGTTTTTCATTTCTGAAAGGGCACAGAGAGCAGGAACAGTGTTGCCGCATCAGGCTGGCGTCCGGGAATGTAACCCTGAATAAGCCTTGGTGTTGGTGACAGGTTGTGTGCAGGGAGGCTGCTTTCCGTCAGCTCTTTCTCTCTCATCCCGGTTGCTAAGCAACATACACACATCCTCCTTCACTGATGTCACACGGGCACTGCTGGCTGTGTGTGTGGAGGACCAGGGGAGATGGTGACAGGGTGGAGTAGCTGAGCTGGAGATTCAGGACCTTGCTTGGCATCTGGCATATTAGGGAGAGTAAGATGCAGATGTGCTCCCAGCAGATCCTCCCCAGAGGCATTCAGGAAGCTGGCCTGGGGTGTAAGGAGGACTCCTGACTGCAGGGGTTAGAGAGGGGACTTTTATGATGTGGCCTCCAAGGGCATTGGGGTACCTGGAGTGGGCTCATTCCTCTTGGTGCAGTCTGGGGCATTGCACCTGCTGTGTACTTGGCCGTGGGGATGGTGGGAGGTGCCCTAGATCCTGTCGCTCGGGACCCATAGTCCGTGGGAGAAGTTTTACCTGTAAATTGTGGGAGTGGCATTGTGTTCCTTGGCATTTGAGTCCCTTCCAGGCTGTGGTCCTGGGGAAATGCCTCTGGAACGGTGACTGAGAACAGGGCAGAAGCACCACCCGCCTCTGTGCTTTTCCAGGAGGGTCCATCCATTTGCACGAGGATAGGTCAGGCGGGGAGGGAGATGGGGGAGGGGCAGGATGAGTCGCCCAGGACGATGGCGGCCAGCGGAGGAGCCGTCACGTGTTTGCAAAGACCAGGTAGCAGCCCAAGCAGGGCCTGAGACTGATCCACATGGCAGAGGGGGCAGGAGGGAGCGGCAGCCTCAGAACCACACACGGCCCCGCCCCACGCGCGCGTTTCTTCATTTACTTCTTTGTGTGGTTTCTGTGCCGGTCACACGCTCGGCCCCCAGGCTGTTCACCGTCGAGTGTGTCCCGTCTCCCCACCCAGCTCTGTGAGGTCAGCAAAGGGCAGGCCAGGTCCAGCTTTCTCCCCGTGCAGGGCTGGGAACGGCGCGGGGACGCAGCCTGTATCTGTCACACGAACCAGTGACACGTCCGTAGCGCAGCTCCGGAACCACTGACTCTGTTTGGATCTGATGCCTCCGAGTCCTGTCCTCACTCTGCAGCACAAATTCCTCGGGACCTTTTAGAATGACCTCTTGTTGCTTTTGCAACTTCTGAAATTGCTTCTAATGAGGCTTCCATTCTGCCTTTGAAGGTGAGAGCTGCTTTCAAGCATAAAACCAAGGTCTGGTCCCTCACGAGCAGCTCCACCCGCCAGGCCAACGTGAAGCCCTTCAACTCGGACATCGTGAGTGCATGTGGTGTCTCGTGTACGCCCCTCCTGCGCTGGCCGATCCTGCTCTGGGTGCCTTCCATCCTCGGCCCACACTGACCCAGGCCTCTTGTTCTCTGTCCTCATCAGCTGGGACTTGCTTTCCAGCTTCACTGAGCTGTGCGCAGCCTCTGCCTTACAGAGGACCACGTGGTCCTGAGGCTGCGTCTCTTACAGCCCGAGCCCCAGGCCCTCCGCTCATTCCTTCCCCGAGCTCCAGCGTCTGCACCATCAGTGTCGGGCAGACGGCTGCCCAGGTCGGGGTGATGGAGGCTCGGCTTGGGTGCTGGGCTTTTCACACCTGACAGAGGCCTGCAGGCGGCACGAGCTGATGTCACACCCACAACAGGGTGCCCCTCCTCACGAAGTCACCTGGCCCCCTCTCCTGCCCCGTTTCCCAGGGCCAGTGCTTCTTATGTTGACTTAGTGGGATGGAAGGATCAATTGACCGGGGGGCAGACACTGGACATCCTGATGGTGTCCTATAAGAGGCACAAAAGTCACTGGACACAGCCCGGCCTCTACATCAGGTCGCCTCCCCCTACAGATGCCTGAGAAATTGGGTCTGGATGGTCAGGGGTCTGAACAAGCCACTCACCTCCCAGCGCTGGGCTTGGTTCACCTTCCTCCTGTGGGAAGTGGTCCCTCATCCCTCCGCCCTGCAGACCCCCAGGCAGGGCCCCCGGGCAGCCTGGAGCAGGCAATATCCTGGGTTCTCACTGCACTGCAGCCTCCCACCTGTCAGCTAGGCCCTCGCTCAGGGGTCCCATCCTCAGGAAGTCCCTTCTGGACAGCACTGAACAAAGGTGCTCCCACCGCACTCCAGCATCCTGTGCCTGCTACCCTTGGCCGTTGTTTGGTTTATTCATTTGCTTGATGGCCGTGGTCTGCCTCCCCCATTGGAACGCGAGCTCCCCGGGGGCAAGGGTCTGGTTGGCTTTGTTCACTGGTGTGACCCCATAGCCTAGAACAGGCCCCGGTGCCCAGCCTGCTTGATAAATCAGTGTCGAAGGAATAAGTGAATAAACGGATGGATGAACAGAGGCGTGAATGAGTGAATGAATGAATGAGTGAACAACAGATTGATGAATGAATGACTGCCTGGGTGAGTGCACCCCAGAACCTGGGAGCCACGAGGCAGGGGAACCTGTGCAGAGAAGGTGGAGAGAGCTGTGCCCTCTGGGTCCTCATTTTTCTGGGGAGCGGTGGGGCCGCCCCCAGGAGGATCCCCAGGCAACTTTCTGGCACAAGGCTTTGCTCTCAGCACTCCTGTGGGACTTGGGTTTCTCGTCTCAGAGCAGTCTCCATTTCTCCGTCCTCTGTGTGGTCTGCAGGTGAACGGGACCCGGCCTGGTACAGGCTCCACCAAGCTCACCCCTTGGGACAAGAGCAGCCACTCGGGGCACCGCGTGGACCTGTCTGCCGTGTGAGCAGAGAGGCCGCGGACCCGGCAGCCTGCCGCTCAGAACCCCCGGACCCGCTGCAGACAACACGCAAGCATCGCTCCGCCTTCGCAACTGGGACCCTTTCCTCGTCGCTCTCTGGACCTGGGGGTCACGGCCCTCCCCCCTGCCCCCCCCCCGTGACAGCATCCTCTCCTGCGACCCGCTCCTGTGACAGAGCCCACTACTGGGCCCGCAGCCTGATACACGGCGAGGGACGGGCCCCCCCGGAACACACAGCGGCCCCTCCCCTTTGTCACTGCAAGTGCGCAGAGCCCCAGACCCTCCACACCGTGCACAGAGGACCCATGGCACCATGAGGGAAGTTTAGCCTCGGCGGGCACCACCATGGGGACTTGGGACCAGAGAGGTGGGGTCCCGCAGGGGAGTTTGGGCAGAGGCCCCTGGGGGCGCGTGGGGAAGTGCCCGAGGATGTTTTCCACCTGCTGACTCCACCCAAAGCAGGGCCCCGATGGCAGGCACCTGCTGACGCCCAGGGCAGTTGGGCTGGAGGCACCTGCTGCCCCGCCCCTGTCTGTGCGAG